TGTTGCTGGTGCGCACTCTGGTCGCCACAGCAGTTGCAGCACTTCTTTGCAGCGGAATGAGCAGCAGCAGAACTCGGAGCAGCAGAAGCAGCAGCAGCAGCAGCAGCCCATTCGTTTGCTGCGTTCCTCTGCTTGTGCGTTTCTGCTGCTGCCGCAAAGGGGCATATCTACCAAACGGAGTTCCCGCCTGCATTCAATGACTGGGTGAGCAGGAGCAGCAGCAGCACAAGCAGCAGCAGCAAGAGCTGCTGCTAACGGAGACGCACACAGCAACACCAGGAAACAGGGGCCGACAAAAATAAAGGCCGTGTAGCTAACTCGCTAGCAATATACTTGGCTAGCTGGCTCAGCAGCCAGCTAGCCAACCATACAGCTAGCTGGCTAGCTATGTGAGTCGCTAACTAGCCGCACAAATGGCTAGCTGGCTGCGTACCTAGCTAGCTAGTCACGTAACTAGCCGGTTAGCTAGCTCGTTACGTATCTACTGCCCACTAGCTAGCCAGCTAGCTAGCTAGCTGGAGAGCTAGCTAGCTAGCTAGCTCTCTGCCGACAATAAACTTGCAGCCATGAGGCAATTCAAAAGCGTAGCTATCTGTAGGTCCTCTCGCCACGCGCGGCCAGTTGACTAGCTGTTTATCCGCCTAGCTAGCTAGCCAGCTAGCTAGCCAGCCAGCTATTCAGCCAGCTAGCCAGGTAGCTAGCCAGCTGCCTAGCCAGGTAGATATCCAGCTAGCTAGCCAGGTGGCTATCCAGCTGACTAGCCAGCTAGCTATTCAGCTAGCGAGGCAGTTAGCTTGAACGGGGGCCAGCTTCGGGGCGTGCGGCGCGGTTGCTAGCTGCAGCAGCAGCTGCCGCAGCAGCATTAGCTTCAGCAGCAGCTTTAGCAGCAGCAGCTTTAGCAGCAGCAGCTTTAGCAGCAGCAGCAGCTGGCGCTGCTGCGTGTGGCTGCGGCGCAGCAAAGAGTGGACCCGGCGTCTCTGTTTGAGGCGCCGGTGATAAAGACAGAAGCAAATCCGAAGCAGCGGCTGGCGAAGCACTTGCAAGAAGAGGCTCGGGGCTGCATGCACTTGGTGCTGTGGCTCGACTGCGACAGAGAAGGCGAAAACATTTGCTTCGAAGTCCTCGACCTCTGCAAGGCCCACCTCGTGAAGCCCCCCAACAAACAGCAGGTCGCCCTCCTGCTGCTGCTGCTGCTGCTGCTTGCGCTGCTGCTGTGGGGGCTGCTTGCCCTGATGCTGCGGGGGCTGCTGCTGCTGCTGCTGGTTGCGCTGCTGCTGGGGGGGCTGCTTGCGCTGCTGCTGCGGGGGATGGTTGAGCACCTGCTGCGCGAGTTGGGCGCTGCGGCTGCGGCGTCAGCTGCATGCAGTGCGCTGCTGTTGCTGGCTGGGGTGCTGCTGCTCCTTCGGACGCTGTGGCGCTGCTGCTGCTGCTGCTGTTGCTGCTTATACTGACGGCTATGGTGTTCTTAATGAGGGGGAGGGCGCCGATAGTGAAACGGCTGATCAGGCTGCTGCTGCTTTTTCTAATGTTGCTGCTGCACCTTCGTTTTCTGCTGTTGCCGATGCTGCTGCTGATCGCGATCTTTCCCGCTGCTGCCGGTCCTCCTGCTGCTACCGCTGCAAACGCTGCTGCTGCTGCTGATACTAGTGCAGCTGCTGCCGCAGCGCCCTTTGCTAATGCAGCTGCACCTGTCCGTAAGCTGAGGCTTGTGCTGCTGTTGCTGCTTCTGGTACTGCTGCAGCAGCAAATATGGCGCGCCCACTTCTCCGCTTTAGCACCTACAGATATCCAGAAGTAAGCTGCCTCCACAAACACTAATCAGCAGTATTAGACCACTGCTAGGAATATCTGCTTCTGAAATGCTGCAGCAAAGAAGCACCTGCTATGCCCTGGGGGCCGTTTCTGCTGCAGCAGCAGCAGCAGCTCTGTGCCTTTTCGTGCTGTTCCGCCGAATTTTTCACTTTTCTTACTTTTTCGACCTTGTCTTTCTTCTTGTTTAATTGTTCTTGAGGCTTGCCGGCTGCTGACTGTCCCTAAAAGTGAATTGGTGCCCCACAGCCTGTCTTTGCTGCTGCTGCGGCTACTGCTGCTGCAACAACCTGCTGGGCCCTTCGCTGCTGCTTGTGGGCCGCTCGCAGGGCCATGAAGCAGCTGGGCTCTCCCAATAAGGACGAGAGCGACGCTGTGGATGCGCGGCAAGAGCTGGACTTGAAAATCGGCGTCGCCTTCACCCGCTTCCAGACGCAGTACTTCCAGGTGGTGCAGCAGCAGCAACAGCAGTAGCAGCAGCAGCAGCTGCAGCAGCAGCAGCAGCAGCTGTAGCAGCAGCAGCTGCAGCAGCAGCTGCTGCTGCTGTTTCTTCTGGCTTTTAGTCTCTTCATTTCGTTTTTTTGCTGTTTAGTCCCTCTACTTTGCTTCTCTTCGTCGTCCAGTCTCCGCCTTTGCCATCATTTGCTGTTGCTCGCTGCTCTCCCCGAATATTTTGCTGCTCAACGCCTTTTTTGCTGCTGCTGCTGCTGCTGCTGCTGCTGGCTGCTCTTCAGGGCAAGTACGGAGACCTGGACTCTTCTTTAATATCTTACGGGCCCTGCCAGACGCCGACGCTGCAGCTGTGCGTACACCGCAGCGACACCATCCAGGCCTTTAGGCCGGAGGAATATTACCAGGTAGCGTTTATTTCATTTAATTCATTTCACGTTGTTTATTTCATAATGTTGATTTCATTTAATTTATTTGAGTGTATTCATTTCATTCAATTCTTTTCATTCAACTCAGCCTTAAAAAGATTGCTGTTTTTTTAAAGGCTCCAATGAGCCTTGTTTGTGGCCACCTACCCCTGCTTCCCCCCATTGCAGGGCTTAGGATTTAGGGTTTAGGGTTTAAAGTCTAGAGTTTAGGACTTAGGGTTTAGGGTTTGGGATTTTGCCTCTCAGTGCATGCTTCGGGCTTTCACTGCGCTGTGGTGCCATGGTTGTTCTATTCTGCCGTATTCCGTGCTGCTGCTGCTGCTGCTGCAGTTACTGCAAAGCTGCTGTTGCTAGGGCTGCTGCTGCTCCTGGAGCTACTGCAAAGCTGCTATTGCTAGTGCTGCTGCTCTGCTGCTGCTGCTGTTGCTGCTGCTGCTTGCAGATTCAGCCAATTGTCCGAGTTGGGGAGCAGGAGTTGACGCTCGAGTGGGCCAGAGGTCAAGTTTTTGACCGCGTGGTGGCCCAGATGTTTCACTTTATAGTAAGGCTGCTTGTGCTGAGGTGTATATACACCCGAGCTGAAGGACCGCCCGATATGGCCACAAGAGGCAGCAGCAGGGGAAGCAAGAGAAGCAGCAGACTGGCAGCACAGCAGCGCAGCAGCGCCGCGAGGCATAGAGATGCAGCACATGTTTTGTGGCAAGCGGGCAGCCACAGCAGCAAACTGAGGGGCAATTCTGGAGTGCATGCGGGGTTCACTTTTGCTGTTGCTGCGCCTCTGCGGTGTACGTACAGGTGCAGTCCGCCACCTTCGCCGTCGTCAGCACCACCAAACAAACTGAAGAAGTTCTTCCGATGCCTCAGGCCCTCAACACTGTGGCGCTGCTTAAGGCCGCCAGCCAGCGCCTGGGACTGGGGCCCCAGCACGCGATGCAGGTCTGCTGCTGCTCCTGCTGCTGCAGCTGCTGCCCCTGTTGCAGCTGCTACAGCCGCTGCTGCTGCAGCCACTCCTGCTCGTGCTGCTGCTGCTGCAGGTGCTGCTCGTGCTGCTGCAACTGCTGCTCGTGCTGCAGCTGCTGAGAGCTGTCTTTATGCTGTTATTTGGGGATAATGCGGCTCCTGTAGCTCCGCTTAATTCTGCTGCTGGCGGTGCGATTGCTGCTGCTGCTGCGGTCCTGCATGGCCCCGGTTCGTTGGCAGCAGCTGCTACTGAGCCTGTCGCGGCTCCTGGGAGTTTGCCGCAAATATGCCCACTGCTGCTGCTGCTGCTGCTGCTGCTGCTGCTCAGGTGGCGGAGCGTCTGTATCTTGGGGGCTTCATAACTTATCCTCGCACAGAGACATGCACTTACCCTCCCTCTTTCGACCTCAAGGGCACAGTGGCCATGCAAGCAGCAAATCCCTACTGGGGAACCGACGCCCAGCAGATCCTGCAAGTCAGTTTATTTTGCTGCAGCAACTGCTGCTACTGCTGCTACTGTTGCTGCTGCTGCTTCCCGTGGCGGTTGCGGGCGCCTGCCTGCTCTCCCCCTTAGGACCTGCCACACGCTTTGCATCACTTTGCCTTCCTCTACTTAACCGCTGCATCCCCAGTCGCGTGCGAGTGCGCTGCTGCCACTGCTGCTGGTGCTGCTGGTGCTGCTGGTGGGTGCTGCAGCGGGGCCTGGCGAAGCCGCGGGCGGGGACGGACGCGGGGGACCATCCGCCGATAACTCCAGTGCGGAGCGCGACGGAAGGCGAAGTGGGGGGCGGGGACGCGTGGGCTGTTTACGAGCTGGTGTGTCGCAGCTTTTTGGCCTCAGTGGCTGGAAACTGCAGGTTCAAGAAGACCACGATTTGCTTCCAAGTCCACGGCGAGGCCTTCGCTGCCAGCGCCAAAGTTTGCCTCGACCCCGGCTTTACCACTGTCTTGAGACAAACGGAAATCCGAGACTCCAGGCTCCCTCCCCTCAGCGCCGGAGACAAAGTCCCACTCCAGAGCGTCTCTATCGTGGTCAGCCAGCTGCTGCTTTTCCCTGCTCCTTGCTGCGCTTTTCTGCGCCTTGATGCGCTTTGCTGCGCCTTGCTGCGGTTTGCTGCGCCTGGCTGTGCTTTGCTGCGCCTTTCTGCTGTTTGCTGCGCTCTGCTGCGCCTTGCTGCGCTTTGCTGCGCCTCGCTGTTGCCCTCTATATATAATATAATGTAGTATAATATAACATAATATAATATAATATAATATAATAATAATGCAATATAATATAATAATAATATAATATAACATAATGTAAGATAATGTAATATAACATAATATATATATGAATGGGCTTTTCAGGAGCGACTGACTTCCCCGCCCCCATATTTGTCGGAGTCGGATTTGCTGGGGCTTCTTGAGCGCCACCGAATCGGCACAGACGCCTCCATGGCGACGCACATTAACAACATTTGCGAAAGAAACTATGTTTCGCTTGTGAGGCCCCCCCTTGCCTATATATATATATATATGTATTAATATACTCGTGATAATATAATTAATAATAACAATAATACTAAGCATAAGAATAATGATAACGATGAAAATAATAATAATAATAATAATGTATTTCTCTCTCTAGCTGCTGCAACTTTGTGGACTTCTTAACCATAAATCCCTGCCTGTGCGTTTCTACGTGTACATGCGCCGGCTGTCGCCCGCTGCGCCTCTGCCATTTTCCCTTATTTCTTTCTGATTATTTTCTGTTATCATTTTGCGTCAATTTTACTTTATTAGCTCTTTCTGGGGCTGCTCCCTGGTGCAGCTGCTGTGGCCGTTGGCCTGAGCGCGTCCTGTCTGTGGTTTTTGCTGCCTCCCGTCTTTCGTTGCTGCTGCTGCACTCTGCTGCCTAGAGTCTGCTCTGGGCTCCCTAATAACTCAGGCTTTATGGTTTAAGGTTTAGGGTTTAGGGTTTAGGGTTTGGCCCCCGGCGTGCAGGTTTCTGGCCGCCGCCTAGAGCCCACCAAGCTGGGCATTTGCCTCGTCCACGGCCTCATGGCAATTGACGCAGAGTTGGTTCTTCCCTTCGTGCGCGCCTCCATAGAGCAGCTGGTCGACGTCATTGCCAAGGGTAAACCCTAAAACCTAAACCCTAGGCCCCGTTGGGACTCTGCGCCGGGCAGTGCTCGCAGCCTGGAGTGCCCTCTACCCCGTGAAGCGCCGTTGCATGCGCTCTAATTCCTCTTTCTGGGGTTTAAGTTTGAAGGCCTGGAGAGCCTTGTGGGGCCCCAGGGGGAGCAGAAGCAGTCTATTGAATGTGTTGTTTACCTTTTTGTTCTTCCCAACTTTTTATAACGTCTTTGTGTCTTTTCATCTGCGCCTTTTCCTTTTTTCGCACTCTTCGCATGCGCCGTTGCTGGTGTCTGTACACCCCGTCCCCGCTGCACGGTGTCTTTGAGGCGCTGTGGGGCTCTTTGTTTCTTTTTCATTTCTTTTCTTTTGCCTTTTTGCTGCCTCGAATTTGTGGGCCTTCTTTGCCTGGCGCGCTGTCTCTTTGCTGCCAGGAAAAGCCCCCAGGGAGGCGGTGGTGCAGCACTCGCTGAAGATATTTAAGGCCAAGTTTTGCTACTTCGTCAACAAAGTAAGCAGCAGAAGAGCGGCTGCGGCCTGCGGCCTTTAGCCTCTTTTGGCCCGCAAAGACTGTTGAGCTTTGGGTGCAGCTTTTGACGCTTTTTATACTTCATTGGCTGTGCGCAGGCCTCTCTTTTTGTGTGTGATTCTGCGTGCCATACATTTCCATACAGATGCAAATATATGTATATATAATATTGTATTGAGAGGCCCTAGCAGCAGCAGGCCCACATATGCATATGCATTTATAAATAAATATATATATATACTATATAACGTATACATTAGATATCTTATATAATATAGATTATGTACAATATTAAATATACATATAATTGCATATGCATATGTGGGCCTGTTGCTGCTAGGGCCTCTCAATATTATCTGTCTTTGCCACTCCCTGCGCTGGGCTCTCTTTTTCTGCTACTGTCTCCGTATTTCTCGGCAAATATCTTATTGCTTCTCCTCTTGTGCCTTTTGCTGTTTTTTTTTGTCCCCTTTTGCCTGCCATTCCCCCCTCTGCTGCCGGCTGCTACCTGCTGCTGCTTGGTGCTGCCCGCTGCTGTTGCACGCTGTTGCTGCACCCCGGCTGCCGCTGCTGCGCAACAGCTGCTCATTTTGGTGCTGCTTCCCATTGCTGCGCGGTGTCTATACAGGTTGAGAGAATGGACGCTTTATTCGACGTCACCTTCACCGCTTTGTCGGCCACAGGTGCTTTTTTGCTGCTGCTTTCTTTTTCTTTTCTTTTGCCTCTTTTTTCCTTCTCGCTTCTGTTTCTATTCCAAATACTTAGAGATTAATTCCTTCTTCTTCTGCTCCTTCCCCTCTTGCTTGCAAGACCTATTGGGTCTTAATGCGATATTTGCATGGTTAACTGCAAAAGTAGCAAGCTAGCTGACTAGCTAGCTGGCTAGCCAGCCAGCTAGCTAACTAGCTAGCTGGCGAGATATATGCACGTTTGCTTTTAGGTAGCTAGGAACATATAAAGCCGCGATAGGATTGCGTTGCTATGGCGACTAAGTAGCGGGCGAGGTGGATAGCTGCACCGCTAGCTAGCCAGGAAGCCAAATAGCTAGCTGAGCTGCAAGCCTGCGCGCCGGCCGCGGAGCTGCAGCTGCAGCTGTCTGACGCAGCTGCAGCTAGCAGATGCAGCTGCAGCTAGCTGGAGCAGCTGCAGCTAGCTGGCGCAGCTGCAGCTAGCTGGCGCAGCTGCAGCTAGCTGGCGCAGCTGCAGCTAGCTGACGCAGCTGCAGTTAGCTTGCGCAGCTGCAGCTACCTGGGGCACCTGTGGGGCTGTGCCTGCTCGCAGGCAACCCGCTGTCCCGCTGCGGGCGCTGCAACCGCTACATGAACTTCATAGCCCGGAGGCCCTCGCGTTTGCACTGCCGCACGTGCGACCTCACTCTCGACGTCCCGCAGACAGGCACCATCAAGGTCCCTTCTGTTGCTGCTGCTGCTGCTGCTGCTGCTGCTTCGGCTGCTGCTGCTGCTGCTTCCCTTGCTGTTGCTGCGCTTGCTGCTGCAGCTTCTTTTGCTTTTGCTGCTCTTGCTGCTGCTTCTGTTGTTGCTGCTGCCGATTCTTGTGCTCTTTCTGCTCTCGCTGCTGCTGCTGCTCGTGATGTTGCTGCTGCTCCTCTTGCGGGTGGACACGCTGCAGGTGCTGGTGGCTCTCTTGCCGACTGCTGCTGCTGCTACTGCTGCTGTGTCTGTTGCAGCTTTACAAGGAGCTGAAGTGCCCACTGGACGGCTACGAGTTGCTGCTTTCTGTCAACACGGGGGGCAAGGCCTTCCCCTTTTGTCCTCTCTGTTACAACGACCCACCCTTTGACACTGAGGGAGCGAGTGCGACTTGCTGCTGCTGCTGCTGCTGTTGCAGCTGCAATCTGTCGGGTTCAGTTGCTGCTGCCTGTGTCTCTCCTGCTTCCATTCTGTCTCCGTCTGTCTTCTTCTTCCCGTGTCTCCTGCTGCATTTACTTCTATCCTTTTGTCCTGCTTATCGCTTGCTGCGACTGAGTCTTTCCTTTCGCCGCATTTTCTGCCTGCTGGCCCTTCTTCATAAAATTGTCTTGTGTTTATGCATGCTTTATCAATTTGTTCGATTTTCTCTGGTTTTTGCCTGTTTGCTTTCTCGCCCGACCCCTCCTTTTTGTCTTGGTTGCCATATTTTCTCCATGTATTGCTATTGAACGAAATCACAGCAGCAACAAGCCGCAGCAAAGGCTGCAGCGAGGGCAGCTCGCAAGGGCAGGAGCAGCAGCAGTGACCACCAGATGGGGCAGCAGTAGAAGCTAAAAACAGCAGCAGCAGCAGCAGCAGCAGCACCAGCCTCAGCACCAGCAATAGCAGCAGCCGCATCAGCAGCGGCGCCAGCTGCAGCAGCATCAGCACCAGCAACAGCAGTATCAGCACCAGGAAGAGCAGCAGCAGCAGCAACAACAGCAGCAGCAGCAACAGCAGCAGCAGCTCGTCTTTGTGCGTCTGTGCTGCACAGAAGTCATGACCTGCGTGGACTGCCAGCACCCCTCTTGTCGCCATTCAATAAATGCTGTGGGAGTTATGCGCTGCCCTCAAGAGCACTGTAGGTCTCATTTGATTTTTATGTTTCTGCATTTATATTTTTTGCTTCCCCTTTATGCATTTCCTTTGCATGCGCTTTTGCTTCCTCTTTTGCTGCTGCTCTTGTGCTGCTGCGCCCGCAGGCGACGGTTTGCTTTACCTCAACCCGGTGTCGCAGGTCAGCTGCTGCAGCCAGAATGGTCTTCTCTTGAATTATTTTTGCTGCTTCTTTTTCTTTTTTTTCTCCATTTCTTTATTCGTTTGCCTCTTTTTCTCTCTGCATGCGTGCTGCTGCCTCCTCCATTGCTGCTGACTCTAGCTGCTGCAGCTGCACTCCAGCTGCTGCAGCGCTGCAGCTGCACTCCAGCTGCTGCAGCTGCACTCCAGCTGCTGCAGCGCTGCAGCTGCACTCCAGCGGCTGCAGCTGCCTTTGTTTCTCGCCTTGGCCCCTCTCTCTCTAGTTTATTATCTCTTTTTTCGTTGCTGTCTTCTTTTTTGCTTCTGTTTCTCCAGCACCCCTTTTGTCTCATTTGTCTCACTTAGCTGCTGTTATCCATGCCTCTTTCCCTCTCCAGCTGCTTCTAAATCTTTATGTTATTTTTCATTTGCTGCGCTGCTGCATTATCTTCATTTTGTATTTGCTGCACTGCTTCTGCTCGCCTTAGACGCCAAGCCCAAGGGGCAGCAGCAAGTGTCTGCAGCCGCTGCAATTTGCTGAAGACAAACTAGCAGCAGAAAAATAAGAGGGACTCCCGCTGCGGAATTTCTGCCGCTGCAGCTGCTGTTGCTTGCTATGCTGCTGCTGCTGCTGCCATCTGTTGCTTGCAGCCTCGCTGGCGCCTCGACTGTACGGTCTGCAGATTTGAGCTCCTTCTATTTGAAGGCGCATTTAGTGAGCAGCAGCAGCAGCAGCAGCAGCAGTTGAGAGTGGGCGCAGCAGCTGCAGCTTTCCTAGTGTGGGAATAGATTTTGATCCACAAAAAGCTGCTTCTTGATGCAACAAAGGCATATAAACTGTTCGTGCTGCTGTTATTGTTGCTGCTGCTGCTGCTTTGACCCGCAGAAGTCACAGTGACGGATGAGGAATGCGCCGAATGCGGCAGCATGCTGCTCGACGTCACCTTCTCAAAGTCCAACCCTCTCAAGGTACTGCTGCTGCTGCCTGAGCTGCTGCTGCCTGAGCTGCTGCTACCTGAGCTGCTGCTGCTTCTGCAAAATCCTGCTGCTTTCCCCGCTCCTCAGGCAGGGCTGTTAAGTTTGTGGGGCAATTTGCTACTGTTGCTGCTGCTGCTGCTGCTGCTTCAGGACGGCTCTACCGAGCGCAAAGGCTGTGTGGTGTGCGACCCTGTGCTGAACGAATTCGTGTCGAGCAGGTCAGCAGCAGCGCACATATCCGGCTGCCTTCCCATCCCGCTAGCTAGCCAGCTAGCTAGCCAGCTAGCTGGCGATTTCTCTGACTAGCCGTTTCACATAGCATACATCCTCGCCGCTAGCTAGCTGCCACTGCGGGCTGGGATTCCTAGCCAGCCGTTGCAGGCACTGGGGTGTACATGCAGCTTACGGTGTACGTGCAGCCTGGGGTGTACATGCAGCGTGGGTCGTACATGCAGCCTCGGGTTTGCATGCAGCGTAGAGTGTGCATCCAGCCTGGGTGTACATGCAGCGTGGGGTTTACATGCAGCGTGGGGTGTTCGTGCAGCCTGGAGTGTACATGCAGCCTGGGGTGTATATGCAGGTTAGGCAACGTTGCAAGACGCAGAGGAGGCAATTTCAGAGGGAGGGGCCGCAGGGGTCGCGGCAGAGGCCGCAAGCCTCCCGTAGACCCCAAGCTCAGCTTCGACCGCTTCTAACGCTGCAGCGGCAGCAGCAGCAGCAACAGCAGCAAATACAGTGATAGCAACACAAAATGGGGGCGTGTCTGTCCTCGTGAGCAGCACAAATTGTTCGTTTTAAGAGTTGTTTGACAGACTCTGCACATAAGGCTTTTCTACTACTGCTGCTGCTGCTGCGCACCAAAGCCGGCACAACAAAAGCTGCATTTAAGACTAACACTGCAGCTTTAGGAGCAGCCAGCAGTAGCTCTGCAGCAAAGCTGCTGCTCCGCAGGAGCGGGTGCTGCAGCGCTAGCTGCAGGTGCTGAAATAGCAGCAGCAGGTGCGCCACCACTAGGTGCAGCAGCAAGCTGTGAGGTGACACCAGTAGGTGCAGCAGCGGGCGCCGAGCCAGCAGCCGCAGGAGCAACATCAGCTGCTCCAGAAGCAGTAGAAACGGCTGCATCCGCTACAGCAGCAGCGGTGGCATCGAGTGTTGCAGCAGCACACTTTTCGGCAGCGGACGCTTCAGCTTCCGTAGCAGCAGCAGATGCTCCAGAAGCAGCAGCAGTTGGAGCAGGTGCTGCAGCAGCAGATGCAGCGGGAGCAACAGCAGGTGCAGCAGCAGCAGCAGCTGCTGCTGCTGCTACAGCCTGCTGCTGCTGTCGCTGTAGCTTGCGTCTGTTCCTCCTGGCAGCTCTGCGCTGCTTCCGATTCGTTCCAACTTTGCTTTCCTTAGGCCGATACGTAGCAGCAAATGCTAGCACTCGCGGCGACAGCAGCTGCAGCACCTGCTGCTGCTCTTGCTGCTGCTGCTGCTGCTGCTGGCCACGCTGCAGCAGCAAGAACGGTAGCTGCTGCGGAGATCCATGGCTAGATATTGCACAGATTAATGCCTTCTGCTGCTTCCTGACTGCGTGCTGCTCCTCAGCGGAAGCTTCGCTGCTGTTGTTTGTAGGAGCAGGAGCAGCAGCTTCTGCGGCACCGGCTGCGGAGTCGTCTGCGGCGACCGGTTGCGGCTGGGAGCTTGTGCTGCTGCTGCTGCTGCTGCTGCTGCTGCTGTTGCAGCAACATCTGGGTCGCACCTGGTCGTACACTCCAATAGCTAAAGTCGTGGGCAGGCCAACAGCAGCAGCAATTCTTTGTCTGCAGCTGTGGAGATACCGGACAAGGCCAAAGCCGCCAATGTTAAGAAAGCAGTAGCAGCAACAGCAGCAGTAGCAGCACAGCAGCAGGAGCAGCAAGGGGAGCGCCCGTACCAGCAACTGCAGCAACAGCAAGAACAGCACCCATGTAGGCAACCGCGACACGAAAGCCAGCAGCAGCAGCAACAACAGCAGCAGCAGCAGCAGTAGCAGACGCACAGCTTGCTGCGGATTACAACCGCGGGTATATTCAACATAGACGCCAGCAGCAGCAGCTGCTGCACCCCAAAGCCTCTGAGGCCTCCATCGGCCGGTGAACAGCAAACACAAATTAGAGCAGCAATGTTGCATGTTGCAGCTGCTGCAGCGGGTGCCTCTGCTGCTGTTCCTGCCGCTGCTGCTGCTGCTGCAGTGGATGCTGGTCCTCTGTCGCAAGGTGCTGCAGCAGCTGCTGCTTCACTTGTTGCTTCTGCTTTCTCTTCCTGTTGCTGGGCAGCAGGAGCTGCTGCGTGCGCAGCAGCAAGTCCTGGTGCTACTGCTGCCGCTCGTGCTGCAGCAGCAGCTTGCTGCTCTAAAATGGCAGCACATGCGTTGAACCCAATAGCTGCTGCTGCTCTTAGCCTTATGCCCGCTGCTGCTGCAGCATTGCAAAGCCTGCAGCAGCAGCAGCAGCAGCACGATGGTTGCAGCGGCTAC